TATATAATCCAAAGTAAAATGGCTATTTTAAAATCATCTGCTTATGGGAGCCAGCAGGTGGTGCGGTGGTTAAGGCCCTGGACTCCCACATAGTTGACTGCGGTTTGAGTCCCAGACCTGGAGGCTTGAAGTCATGCCAGACACGTGTGAGGGTATGCCCACATCCCAGTAGGAGAATGGAGGAGAAGAGATGGCAGCATAGCCATCCCCCCGGGAGGTGATTTCTCACTTTCCTTCTCTCCATTTATCTCTGTCTCTCTCTGGTGAGTGCACATGTCCTATGACAAAAACCTATATATATTTTTTTTACTACAGATTCAAAACAGGGTAATTTAATGGACTGAGGTTTGTGGGTTTTGAGTCTTTGCTTCTTAGTACTCAATATCAAATCATTAATTACCAGTTGCTCTCAATCTACCATGACCATAAAGTCTCCAGTGAACACTTAGTGGTCTAGTGGTTTGGAAAATGTGGTTGAAATGAAGTGAAACCCTATTGATTTACCTAGAACCAAAAATAGTAGGATTTTCTTCTAGAGGTTTTATTTCAGGTATGATAGTAAAGGTTAACAAACAATCTTCATCATCCTCATGAGGGGTATATATATGAGGATATTAACCACAGAAGGGAGGATCTTACTTTCTGAATCACATGTACTTTTCCATGTTTTGATGTTAAGCTCTAATCTGCATTATCACAAGTTCTGTTATAGTCTCAAGGAGAATTTTTTTCCACTTAAGAAAGGCACAAAGGGGAACCAGCAGTTAGCATAATGGCTATGTCGCTGGACTCCCACGTAGTCGACCATGGTTCGCGTCCCAGACCCGGTGGCTTAAAACTCACGCCGGGCGCGTGTGTGTGCGTGCCCAGGATCCCGAGAGGAGAATGGAGAAGAAGGGATTGCGGCGTGACCATCCCCCCTGGGAGGTGATTTCTCACTTTCTGTTTCTCTGTCTCTCTCTGTCTGTCTGGCAAGCGCACACGCCCTATAGCGAAAATCTCTCAAAAAAAAAAAAAAAAAAAAAAAAAAAAGAAAGAAAGGCACAAAGAACAGAGGTGACTCTTTGCCTAAACTCTGCTTGAACAGAAATGTGTAGTACTTACAGCAATCAGATTGCACGTCATCAGTAAACACACAGCAGACATGCGTCATTTTCTGGCTCTGCTGATTCATCAGCTTTCAAAAGGATCCGTCTACTTGCATGATGAAATAAAAGTAGTTGTTTGCAGAGGAGGAAAGTTGAAATCAACTGGGGATACAGACAAGAAAGATAGGTAAGTGCAAGATATTGAAGATCTACAATCATCCGCAGAGGCGTTTTGCTGGAGAGAAACTATACAGACGTAACACAGACGTCGAGACCTCCCTACCGCACAATCACAAAAGATGTCTCTTACTCCACAATTATTAGGCGGTCAGGAAAGTTATAACTTTTCTTTTTTAAGAGGTTTTTGCTACAGGGTGTGTGTACTCACTGGAGAGACAGAGAAACAGAAAGTGAGAAATCACTCCCCTGGGGGGAAGGTCATTCTGCAATCCCTTCTTCTCTATTCTCCTCTCGGGATTTTGGGCACACACGCACATGCGCCAGGTGTGGGTTTTAAGCTGCCGGGTCTGGGACTCAAACCACGGTCAACTATGTGGGAGTCCTGCAACCTAACCATTATGCCATCTATTGGTCCCCATGACATGTTTTTCTATGCAAAAATGTGTCATGACCCTCCAAACAGCCCAATATTTTCTCTGAGCACCATATAGAGAACATCTTGGCATTTATTAATAACTAAACTTGTTATGAGGAAACTGTCTGTTAGTTACAGAATGTATGGTGTTCCACAGTGTGATTTTTGCATCACAGAGTGCAGCTTTTTATAAGCAGCAAAATTAATTGAATGAAGCATACTTTCATTCCCAGTCTAACATTTAATTTAGAAATTTGAGCCAGGTGAGGACAGAGGAGTTAAATGCAGGCTGCACTGTATTTAGTCACTTCGATATCAACAATTATTACGAACAGGGTTAAATAAAATAGTATTACTATGCAAATTAACAATACTATATCAAACAAATGTCAAACAGGTGCTCAAGAGCAGCAAGTGCCCATTTTTTTTTTCTTTTTTTTGGGGGGGGGAGAGGTTTTCGCTATAGGGCACGTGCGCTTGCCTGAAAGACAGAGACAGAGAGACAGAAAGCGAGAAATCACCCCCCCAGGGGGGATGGTCACTCCACAATCCCTTCTCCTCCATTCTCCTCTCGGGATCTTGGGCACGCACGCACGCACGCCTGGCATGAGTTTAAGCCACCGGGTCCGGGACTCGAAATGCAGTCGACTACATGGGAGTCCAGCGACATAGCCATTACGCTAACTGCTGGTCCTGCAAGTGCCCACTTTGAAGAACGCAAGCACCTCCGTGGCTTTAATCAGGTGCAGGGCTGCATCTCCATGCGCTCTGACCTGAGGGGCGGGGACAGGCTAGGAAGTCGGATCCTGGGAGAAGACAGAGGGGCAAAGGAGAAAAGGGAATCCGGAAGAAGAGCCTTCCAGGTTTCGACTGGGCAAATTCCACCCATATGTCCTCGGAAAAGCTGCAAAGAGAACTGTTAAGACTGAGACGCTGACTCACCAATGAACAGGCCTCAAATAAGAACAGGTTCTTTCCAGAAAAGCACTAGCACGCCCACCCGGGAGCTGAGGAGGAGAGCGTGTTTAGAGGTCACTGAGGGAGCACTCGTGTTAGGGAAGCCGGTGGGGACAACGTGGCAGCTCCGAACTCAGCCTGGATATGGGAACGTAAACAGCAGCGTGGTGGACCGAGCAGATGGTGCTGAAAACAAAGATGGTGGAGCACCCTGAAACCTGGCATCTCTCCCGACAGACTATTTCATTAACTAATGCAGCATAAAGCCTGCATTTTCTTGTCTGGCATATCAAAACAACTCAATACATTAAAAACAAAATGTCACTTAGAATTCTAGTGCCACCTGGTAGAGCTCGCGCACTCAGTGAAGCTGTCGTTAATTACTCAGAACCGAAGTCTACCGGTCAGAAGTCACACACCTTATTACATTATTCAGGGTTTAATGGCATTTACAGCTTTCTTTTGAGAGGTTTTTTTTTTGGAGAGATTTTCGCTATAGGGCGCGTGCGCTTGCCAGACAGACAGACAGAGACAGAGAGACAGAAAGCGAGAAATCACCCCCCAGGTGGGATGGTCACACCACAATCCCTTCTCCTCCATTCTCCTCTCGGGATCTTGGGCACGCACATACACACGCCCGGCGTGAGTTTTAAGCCACCGGGTCTGGGACGCGAACCACGGTCGACTACATGGGGGTCTGGCGACATAGCCATTACGCTAACTGCTGGTTCCCAAGCATTTACAGCTTTCTGAACAGGCACGCAGGTAAAAGCAACACACACACACAAGCAGAGGGAGACATGGGCCTGCGTACGGGCCCTTCAGCAGCTGGTTACTTTCCCGCCCTGACAGAGGGTTCCCGCAGTGAGGGTGGAGTCGCAGAGCTCAGCATCCAAGTCTCCTCTCCCTCATTTCTAGCGACGACACTGAGCCGTCATCACGTGGCTGGGCTGACTTTCTGACGACTGGGACTCCTTGGGGTTACCTGCTCTCTCTTGCTGCATTCCGGGGCTGAAAGTGCAAGCTATGGCCACACGGGATAGCCTCTCCTCTGCGTAAAGTCAGCAACCACCTCTGGGAGCTGAGCCTTCGATTCCACTCTTATTAATAACTCTGGATAAAAATCAAGAAAGCAAGCATGCATACATCCCCTCCCTACTTCCTCCCCTATTGACACAAGCACACACGTACGCTCGGGCACACACATATGCGCATACACTCGTGTGTAAACACGTACCCACACACATACTCGCTGACCATTACTCCTGCTTTGTGTGGGTGAACTGCAAAGTCCTTTTCTGTAGACAGCAAGTTTCTTCATGCAAGGTCACTGGATGTATATACATATTCTTTTTTTTCCAATTTATTTATTTGCATTCATTCATTGTACATCATTACAGCATACAAAATGAGATTTTCCATCCAGAGTATATTATCTCAATAGAGTACATCAACAAACTTGTTATTCTCAGCAAATGATCTTCCATTTCTTGTTTTCTATATGTTTTGCTTTTTTCCCCCCCATCCTTGGTTCCCTATCTCTTACCCTCTGCCACCTCCCGCTCTCCTCCCACACTGTCTCCGGTATCTACGTTTGCTTTCTATACTGTTTTCCCCCCACATTTTATTGAATCACCAAAGACCCTAATCAATCCAAATACCCTCATAGCAAACACAGGTGACACACACATTTCCATGAGCACAAGTCTAACTTTACACATCCTATAAAGTAGCACCTAACTGGGGCTACATATCCTACTGCAGTCATTGAATAGATATATATTTTTTTTCCTGAAACTTCTTTTTTGTAACTCAATTTACATTCCTTCCCAAAGCATCATCCCAGCACACAAAATGCTATCTCCCATCCAGTACACACTGCATAGTGACTCATGCACATTACAGAAAAAATAAATTTCCAATTCTAGTTCCTAGAATTATTTCCACCCCTCTTTCTGACCCTCTGTCCCTTCCCACCC